CCTAGTCTGTTCACACCCTTCAGCTCTGGGAGTAGATGTGTTCAGTCAGGATGGTAAGGGTCTTCACTCATATACTTATCCTCCAATCAGATTCCTCTTCAGAGTCTTTTCCCTAAGTTAGACCTCTCCTTGTCATGTCCTGTTTGTTACTTTGTATTAGCTCCCTTGGATGTGGTTTCATCTGCTCTGGCTCTTACTGGAGTGACATCCCTTGCCCTTAGTTCTGTCCCAATCTCTCCTCCAACACTCGCAATTGGACATAGTTCATTCCAATGTCTCCAAACTCCATCTTCATGCATGGATTTTGCCTGGTCCCTTGCCTCAGCTCAAGAACTCACCCCCTTGTGTAGTATCTTTTCTTTCCCATTTGTTGTATGTGTACCAAAGGCAGTGGTCTACCTTTTCAGACCATGGTCCATCCAGCCCTCCTGTCCTTTGGTACCTCATCCTTCCCAGTTCTTTGCCTGGTTGTTTGATCAGGTTATTTGGACAGTGTTTGTAGTTTCTAGTTATAGGGCTGCCCTTTCAAACACCTTCCGATTATCCTCTTTCCAGATAGCTTTCTTCTCCCCTGTTATTTCCGTCTTTTTCTGTTCCTTTTGTATTGTCTGTCCTTCATATCCCTTTGTTTTTGCCATATTGGATCTCAGTTTTCCTTCATGTCCTGTCCAGTTCTACATTTGAACACTTTGTTATGTGTTCCTTGTACCATCTTTCCCTTAAGTCCACTTTCTCCTTGATAGCAGTCATCATTGTTCTGATATTTATGCCATAGATGTTTCCCGCATGCTTTCCTATTCGTCTTATGTTGTTATCTATCCTGATTGGGCCTTTCTTCCCCAGACTTCTGCTGCCCAAGCAGGTAGTTTGTCTTTCTCTTCTATTTCCTTAAATTCCATTTCCCACCTGTACTCCCGTTCAGTTCCGGATAGACTTCTTTGTTTGGTTCATTCCAAGAGATGTTATGTGGCTTTTTCTGGCTCCTTTCATATTATCATTTCCATCTATTTGTTCCAAGGATTCCCTCTGTATTCTATGCACTCCAATTGCACTCACTGGTTGGGTTCATCAATGCATACAACTGGTGTATTCTGACTTGTTCATAGAAGGTTGCTGTCTGCACAATGTTTTTTCACACCCAATTTGTCATCTAACTACGTCTTTAGCTGCTTGCCTTCACCAGCCTATGGAAGAAATTGTTCAGGTTGGGATGTGGACAATTCCCAATACATTTGTAACACATTATCTGCATGACCTGGTTGTGTCTTCCTCAGGCAGGTATTGTCTTCCTCCTGTGGCAATTCTATACACGTCTATTCGATTTTGACTAGATAAGTTGACATATTACTTTTCTTATAGATTTTTAGTTGATACATGTCATATTTCAGGATTCCACATGGTGGCAGATGTTGCCTGGTTAGGTATGTTTCATATATTAGCAATAGATATGAATAATTTTGTAATGTTCAATGTTGAGATCGGGCATTTTTGTAAGACTACTAGCAGCTTATCCAGTGGTATGTGTATCTATACTTATTTTACTAAAAGTTACTAGTTTCAGTTATCAAGGACCGTCACTCCAGAATAAAGCAAATGGGGATTTCTGCCCATTCCTACTGACTTGTGATTCCTACAGTCGGGTCTATCTGCTATTCAAAGTAGGGAATCACAGACACGCATTGAACTGTCTCCTGGATGTTGCTCGGGTGGACCGCACTTGTTTATATCTATATCTTATGCAAGATGTTTCCACTGGATGGACTGCACTTGGCATAATTTGGCGTATCCCAAGGTTCTTCCCCTAGATGTTTTTTGCCCAGTCTCTGCTGTCTCACTCACTTCCTACATGTTGCCGATTTGCCATTTTCCTATCTCTCCTTACTAGCAGCATCTTGGGACATTGAAGGGGGTTGTAAGCATGTTTCTTCTCAGGACAACTTTTTTATGTTTTATAACTAATGTCTTTTAAGTATAATATAATGTAACTCACTAGAAGAACTGTTACTTGATATGATTGTATATGGGAAGTAGGAATATAACATAACATTAAAGGACAATAAGAGACATACTGGTCTGCCTAGGCCATCCTGTCCACTAAATTAAACACTAAAAAGCTCAAACCAGCCATTGACATTCAAATATTTAACAAGCTTTTCCTTAAAGTACCATAAAATAACTGCATCTACCATATCCAAAGGCAACATCTATACCTTTTCCTGTTATCAAGATGTGTATTCATGTGCATGTAAAACAGTATAAAAAATATCATTAACTCTGTACTAAAGATGCTACAAATTCACTTCTTAATATCTGTACTTGTAAATACCATAAAGATTGTAAGAACTGGATCTGAGGATATCAGTTTTTCATAACATCAAAATCAACTTGACCACAAAACCACTTAAAAAAGGTGTAACTTTCTATTGAGTTGAGTGAAAGATCCAGCAATAGTAGAATATTTCAGAATATGCAAACCAAATTAACCATTTAACTCGTTATATGCTGTTGCCATTTTGTCTTATCGTGAGGGCAAAATCACATTTGTGAATTTAAAAAATCATAGGGTACTTATCTTTTATTGGATTTTAGATATTATTTTTGTAAATAGTGACATAACCTTCAATTATTTGTACAAAATTGTATTATTTAATGAACTTTAAAGAAAAAAATCCTAAAATATGTTTGAGACTATAAATAAGTGCCCTCTAAGAAGAAAATTAAAAACAATTTTTAAAAATTTTTCCTTCCACTTCACTGCTGGTACTGCCATCTATGATTGGTATCTAAACCTTTTTCTAGTCTGTTTTCTTTATAAAACAGTGTCTGGGCATGTTAAACTTCAGTTGTAAAACTTTTAGCCAATCCTAGTTGAAGGTGTCAATTTCAGTGCCATGTTATTCCAATCACCGTATTTCACGTTTAACAAATCATAGGATGATGAGCAAAAGCACGTGACGAAACGTTGTTCTCTGGATTTTACAATATGAATGTGGGTGGTGCTTATTATAGTAACTGCCATTTTATGTAGAGGTTGTATTTAGTATTGGCCAATAGTACTTTTCTATAAGCCATAGAAAAGTTGCATCTGGAAAAAACTGCATGGGATGTACATAACTTTTATTATTTTTCTATAGTAGCTTAAGTCATGCTGCATCGTATGTCTATTTATATTAATCATTATAATGAAATATTAACTCAAAATAGATATTTTTAGGAAAGAAGTTGATCCACGAATGTTAGGGTTAAGAGCTATCGAGTGGCAAGTGCTAGGTCTTTACATGAATTGGCTTAGCACTTTGAACTGAAAGATTTTTTATATTCTTTTGCATTTAAATTAGTAGTTTTAAGTTCAATAACTTTGCATGATTTTGTATTTAGTTCATAATAATAATAA